GTCTAATCCCGTGTGCCCAGCACGTGCAGCAGCCTAAGGTCTAATCCTGTGTGCCCAGTATCCTGTGTTAGTTTTTATCAACATGACGTAAAATCGAGTCAGCTGAGAAGAGGGAGTACCTTCATCAAACTGGCCTGTAAGCAAGTCTGTGGCCATTTTTTTTTTTGACAGATGGTTGATGTGGGAGGGCCCAGCCCACTGTGGGTGGTGCCAGTTCGAGGCAGGTGGTCCAGACTTGTATGAGAAAGGCAGCTGAGCAAGCCTTGGGGAGCAAGCCAGTCAGCAGTGTCCCTCTCTAGCTGCTGCCCTAACTCAAAAGTGTGAGCCAAAGAGACCCTTTCTCCCCAAGTTTGCTTTTGGTTAGTAATTTATCACAGCAGGATGCCCCAGTACTGGAAGAAAAAGTTCAGGAAATTTTAAGTATCAGATGTTGGATGTGAGTGATGTACATTTTTCTCAGGTAGCTTGTTTTGCCTGCCACAGAATTCATCCTCGGTACTCTCTGGAGTCCTGGACTTCCACTCCCTGCCTCATGTTATGAGAAGACCCCCTCCCCCACAGGCCCAAGGACTGTGGCACCCCACAGGTCTTCAGTATAGAAGACAGGGCAAAGATTCTCTGATGCCCATCGTCCTATAAAGCCCAACACACACTCATCAGTGTGTAAATTTCCAACAAGTGGGGGGGGGGGCTGTAAGTTACCCAGAAGCCCACTGCAGCAACCCCACTGAGAAACAGAATTAGCATGTTAGAGAAAAAAAAGAACACAGGAGAAAGATGTAAAGTTTGATGTTCTTTTCCCTGTCCACATCCTTCAGGGTCCTTGTGATCTTAGGCAAACCTCCAAGTTCCTTGTCTTTAGGATGTTAGGGGTGAAAATGACACAGAACACACAGCCCAGGACCTGCCCGAGTGCTGGGAGACAGAGCATCTGAAGGCATCCATCTATTAGAGCCTCTTGTGACCACTGGAGAGATGGCCGGGCAGTTCAGAGCACTTGCTGCTCTTTCGGGGGACCCAGGTTTGGTTCCAGTACCTACATGGCAGTTCAGAACATCTGTAACCCCATTTCCGGTATGGGATGCCCTCCTTTGTCCCTGTCAGGTACTAGTCACACACGGAGTACCAGGCACACATGCAGGGCACATACATACATTCAGGTAAAACACTCATACACATAAAATCAATCAATCAAAAGCAGAGTTTGTAAGAGCTTGCAGTGAAGGGGAGCGTGCGTGTGCAAGTAGAGCACCATTTCCACTATTTCATTCAGCACCCTGCCTCTTCCCCGACACACTCTCAGCACACATGTGCCTTGATCGAGTCTTCAGAGCTTTATCCTCCGTTTAGAAACTTTACCAGAAGTTGGAAACATTTTAACTGCTCAAATCTGTTACAGTTTCTCCTGGGGGAGAAGCACTCCCAAAGCCAGCTCACCTGCTTGTGAAGGTCAGGGCCAGTGCGGTGGCCAGGTGAGACATCAGCCTGAGCGTCTGCATCTGGTGCTCGATGATCCGCACCTCTTCTTTGCCCTTGGGCCCAAACTGCCTTCGGCTAGAGAAAATGAACAAACACGACTTTTACCAAAATGCAGTAAGTAGATGACTTTGTCTTCACAGCTGCGAGTGAAGTTTCAAACGCTGCAGGATGCAGAAACCCAAATCTCCTAAAATGCGGTTAAGGCAGTAAGTTAAGATAGTCCAACCTTCCGAGGAAAACCCCAAGCAAGCTTTTTAGTTTTCCTAGAAGTGTACCTTCCCACCACGGGATACGTGTAAGGCAAAGCAGATCTATCTACTACATGGGGTAATTTGTACTCCTTAACATTTACATGACATTTCCGAGCTTCAAGTGCCCCACAATCATTAATTATTCAGCTTTACTAGGTTTGTATCATAATTAATAGGATAGAAGCCATAGTCTAGAACATATTTCAAATGGACATTCTCAACAAGGAGGGTGGCGGTGGCCTCCGTGCGCCTGTCAGATTCACAGGTGGATCATTACTCTCAGCCCTCTAAGCCCCCTGCAGTTCTGCATGGCGTAGTATTCAACAGAAGCCCTTGTGTCTTGTTACAGCGGCTGCGGGGCACTTGGAGGCAGGCGCATCTCATGTCTTTCCTCAATGCAATTCCTGGAACTGTCCCTGCAGCGATACCCATGAGCAAACCCTGGTGCCGGCCAATACTTTCTGACTCGGGTTGATGATATTCTGCTTATAAGTAGCCATGAACTTAGTTTTTATTTTTAAAAAGTAACATCTTACACACATACAAACACACACACACACACATACGTTATCAAACATCCAAAGCAAATCTATGTTATAGACACTATTGAGCCAAGGATACCCATACACTTACAAGCAAATTTTTCAAAGTTTTAATCTTTGCACCTTTGAGGGTCACATCAGTTACCTTCATATCAGATATCTATATTATGATTCGTAACAGTAGCAAAATTACAGTTATAAAGTAGCAACAAAATTAATTTTATGGTTGGGATCACCACAACATGAGGAACTGTATTGAAGGATTGCAGTATCAGGAAGGTTGAGAGCCATTGGCAGAAGGCATTTACAAATCACAACCTGGCTGTGTCAGACAGGTGGGAGGGGCCAGGCATCCACCGGGCCAGAATGCTGCAAACAGAGTGAGCAGACATCCCTGGGCACAGTCTGACCATTCCAGATGGTTGTCCCAGGAACACTATCATCCCCCGCCCTTGGCCCATGCCCTTTCATCCACACTATATCCACCCAACCACAGCAGGACACGGTCTCAAATGAGAGGTTGAGCAGTGTGCAGGGTAATCTCTCAGTTCCAGCTGGATCGTGATGAGTCCAAAAACAGAAAGAAAAAGAAACTTCATTTTCAATAAGGGTGTCATCATAATGTTAGGTTATTGCTATGGACTGAATTGTGTCCCCACAAAATTCATACACTGAAGCCCTAATTCCCAAGTGACTTGGAGATAGGGCTTTTAGGAAGTAATTAAGGTTAAATGAAGTCATAAGGGTGGAGTGCTAATCTGATTTACCCAGCAAACCCTCCTTCAACTCAGCGTGTTGCAGGAAGGTCAGGTAAGGACACTCAAGAGAACAGATCAGAAGACAAACCACACAGACACTGAATCTGCCAGTTCTTGGACCTTGGCATTCCAACCACAAGACCCAGAACCACAGGACATACATGCTCATTGTTTGAATTTACCCCATCTATTGTGTCTTTGTTATAGCAGCATAAATGGTCTCATGCAGTTACTTACAATGTTCTATTTGTCCCTGCTCTCTAGAGTTTTAATTTTGTTTTATAATTCTACTGTAGGTTTATTTGTAATTATTAAAGTCAAATTTAGCCACACTTGACATGGCCACATGCAACCCACTCCTCTGGGAGACAGCTGTGCCACCAGTACACTAGATTCTGGGCACCTGCCATGTTCAAGGCCAAGTCCCAGACATGGAGCGCATAGCCCAGAACACAGAGAAGACCCAGTCAGCACGGCCCAGCCTTCCATCCCTGTCAATCACCAGTATTCCATCTTAGATTTCCAAAATATCATTTCAGGGTGCTTTACTCATGCAGAGATGACAAAGGAAATGATCGATAACAACATCTTTTAGATCTTGATTTCTGAAAAATCATGATAGTCATACAACTTTAAATAGAGTTCCACCAAAGTTTCCGTTTCTTCAAGCAAGTCTTTATTTTGGCATAGCACACAACAGATACACAATATGGAACAAATGGGTTTTTCAAATGAAGAAATGCAGGCAAACATGGCAGAGTGGCCTGATCAAGACCTCAAGGAAGGTTTTTTGGATGCTAGATCAGTGTGGGGGTTAGCAGCTGTCAACTTGTTGACAAGTGACAGGCTCTAGAGTCACCTAGGAGATGAGACTCTGGACTTCTCTAGATTAGGTTTACTGAGGTGGGGAGACCCACCCTGAATATGAGTACCATTCCATGGTCTGGGCTCCTAGACTGCACAAGACAGAGAAAGCTAGCAGAAGTATTTATCACTTCCTTCTTCTGTACTATAGAAACAATGCGACCAGCTTCCTCATGCTCCCTGTGCCAAGCCTTCCCCACCATGGCTCTCGGTGCCAAGCCCTCCCCACCATGGCTCCCAGTGCCAAGCCTTCCCCACCATGATCTACTGATGTTTAAACCGTGAGCTAAAATAGACCCTTTCTTCTTTCAGTTGCTTTTTCTCCCCAGGGTGTTTGATCACAGCAAGAGAAAACAAAACTAATGCAATCTGATTCCCAGTGTGATTTGTGATGGTTCCACTTCCTCTTTGACCCTCATAGTTCAGTACGGTAATAGGCACGGGCCAGAGAGACCACCAAGAGTCCGCACAGCAGGCCTCAGAGTATATCTCGTCATGTGGCAGGGAGATTGGCCAATCCACTGCAGGATTCTAGGTGATTTCATAAACTTGAGAGATTTTACAAGAATATATGCATGTATTTGTAAATAGATCTGGCAGCTGTGGAGTCTGCTCTCATGATGGGGTGTGCTGGGCTTTAGGGCCACCAAACTGTTTTCTCAGGGCATAGTTATCTCTGCCCTGCAAACCTTCAGAGTTCCATCCGCTCACTGAGATTAACTGATGGCTCAGGAGGTACTGGCTTTCTAGCTCCATTTCCTTAGACAGTCTTCTATAGTTGTGGAGAGACACCACAACCATGGAAACTCTTATAAAAGAAAGCATTTAATTGGGGCTGTTTTACATTCAGAGGTTTAGTTCATTATCATTATAACAGGAAGCATGGCTGCCAGACATGGTGCTGGAGGTAGCTCAGAGTTCTATATCTTAGCAAGCAGCAGGAAGAGAGTGAGTCACTGGGCCTGACTTGAGCTTCTGAAACCTCTAAGACTGCCTCTAGTGACATACTTCCCCAAACACCTACTCCAGCAAAATCACACATCAAATAGAGTCACTCCCTAGGATCCTATGGGAGCCATTTTCATTCAAACTACCACACCCATCATGGATGGGTTTCTTTTCTTCGGCCACAATAATTTATTGCCACCTCCTAACCTGACGATTAGTTCTTTGACACATAGCCACACACAGGCATTCGACAGACATTTAAAATATAGGAGCCAGATGCTTGGGAATCTAATCCAAATGCCCCTGTCTGGTATCTAGGAGTTAACTTGGGCCTTGCTTGAACCTTCAATGATTCTTTGTACTTTTTGTCCATGCAGGACTTACTGCCTCCACCAGCCTCAAACCCAACTGTCATATACCTAACTGGACTCATTTGAGTTGAACCAGCCACATGTTCTCTCTTGACACTGAGACTGTTTTGATTTTTCTCCCTCTCTTTAATCCTTTCCTTCAAAAACCTGAACAGAACCAAACCAATCAAACCAAAGCGGCTTCTCCTTAGAATGCCCAAAGTATTCCCTCTGTGGTCTTCCCTCCAATGTCAGTCTCTCTCTCTTTCAGTCTGCACTAACTGATGGTTGCTGATGCTTCTCCTCCCAGAGCCTTGCTGATTCTGGAGTGTGAGCCCCACCTCCCAGGGTGAGCTCATTCCTAAAGATAGCAAATGATGTCCCCAGGACTGCATCATCCAAATGTAAGCTAGCAAATCCAGAAACCCCAATACCTCATGTGTAAGGCTATCACAATGTAGGGCACTGATGCCCAGCACAAGTCCCCCCAGGTGACACCCAGGGTCAGGTATCAGACCACTGAGGAGAGCTTCAAGATATCAGAGCCCTATCACCCAACTAATCAATCCTAGTCTACTTAGCCTGCTTAGCCTGCTTAGCCTACATGGTCCATCCTTTCCCTTGGCATCCTCCATCTCCTCACTGACACTAGTGTTTCCCTATGAGGCCCTGGTGGGTGGACACCCCTTTTTTTCTAGGGCACTATGAACAATGAGCCACTTAAAGATGGCAATCTTCCTGACCTGCTGGCCTCCACATATCTGGAAGTTAGAACAATCTACATGTCCACGGTCTCTGCTATCTGCCTCATAGCTCACACCTGCTCATTTTCATGTGCCCCAGCCTGGCCTGGAGCAAGGACTCCCAGAGAAGAAAAGAAGGAGGGCACGCTGAACACCACATCATCTCAGCAACTGTACTTCAGCTTCCTACCTGCCACCCCCACTCTTTCCTGAAACGTTTACTTATTTAGAGTTGTTATGAACAAAGAAGTAACTCTGACAGAGGAGCACTGGTAGAAGCAATGGACAGGATGGAAACTGATGAGACTGGGAAAGCAGGAGAGAGGAGCCGATCCCTGTAATACCGACGGCCCTACCCTGGCTTTCTTACAGGAGAGCAGTGGATATACAGAAAGTGGGGCGCACCCACTCCTTTCCTTGGATGCTGCCAGTCTCCAACGCACTGAACGGAAGTTTCTATTGGCTCCTTACCTATCTGGTGCTCTACCTGGCTTTAGAGGTGGCATTAAAGATTAATGACTCTTCTGCTCAGTCCTAGGATGGCCACTATTAGCCCCAAGCTGGTTGGCTAACTGCAAGAGAAGCAGCAGATAAAAAGGACTATCGAGAGTCCGAGCCG